GTGAATTGTGCAGTACTGTTCGTACAGTGCAGTACTGCAGAGCGAGCGCAATAGAATACAGTAGATAAAAATAAAAATAAATGAAAACAATACCTAAACAATCCAAAAACTATTCTACATTTATACAAATATCGAAAAACTGTCAAGATTCTGCTAATTAATTAATAACTAATTAATTGCTTCATCAGAATCAGTTACAAATCTTGATCAAGATCTTAATCAAGTTTTTTCAAGACAAATTCTGTAACAAAACTTGTCGACAATCTTGAACTGCAAGATGATCTCCGAATCTTGACAGATATCGATAAATCTGCATAAGATCTTGAAAGAACTGAACAGAAACTGCCGAAATCTTTCAAGTTTTTATCAAGATCTGCAATCAAGATTTTTTACTTGGGATAACAGGCTTTTGTATTCTACACAGATTTTATCAGAACGTTCGGACGTTCATTTTCTTCGGCCCAAGTCTATTGAAAGAACAAAAAAAATGAATACGAAATTCATCTGATAAACAAATAGCAAAAGGAAGCCTATTCATTGAAATTAATAAAACAAAATTTTAACGAAAAAGAAGTTTTATGACTTATGGTTTATTTACATACAGACGAGTAAGTTCATCTAAAATGCATCAAGTGGTAAATATAAAAATTTCGACGCGAGTAATAAGACCTACTCCATTACGTGAAGCTCTCATGAAACTTCTCAAGCTGAAACAGCCTGTTGAGAACTATATTTCTGAATCAAGTATGTAATTATTGAGATAATAGGATCAAGCTAATGGTTTTTTGTATTATTATTGCGATTTTTTAACGATACAAAGTAACTGTAAGTTATTTCACGCGGGCATTTTGACGACGAGCACGATTGTAATATTAAAGTAGTATTTGTGAGGAGATACAGTGAAGTTTTTAGTGCTTTTCTCGGTGGCTTTAATGTTTTTGGTATTTTGTTCTATCGATTTGTTTCCAAATAGAGACTATTTTTATCATGCGTAGCTTGAGAAACCGCGTACGTGAAATGGTCTACAGTCTCTTTGTGCGCTTGAAAATCGCAATAATATTCTAACCCACTGACGTTTTGGACTCTATCAAGTCAACCTATACAAATACACTTGATTCAGACATGTGGTTCTCAACAACCTCTTTTATGTACAAGCCATGCCACGTAGACCATTTCAAATGTCCAAAAGCATATCGAGCATTTGTAGAGCAAACATTTTGATGAGTTTTGGCAGAAACGGCAGTTCTCTGAATCCAAGACAGAGCGAGATATTTGAATTTTACTGCAAGATCTAGCGGTCGAAGCCGAGAAAAAGCACATTTTTCACGCCTGTCAGAAACATTACCTGATGAGCCAAGAGTAATTAGCGTCAAAGATACATACTAACATGCACTGTTTGTGAAAAAAAAGTGTCAAGTCTTCATCAGTTTTTGTTTTCGAGATCAGATGTTCTGAGGAACAACTAAATGTCTGAAATGATTTCTTTTGGAAATGGGGCAAAATATAAGGTCTATATGCGGTACTAAAATAGACATTTTGGAAATTTATATCACTTTTTAGATCAATCCGTACCAAACACACTTGTTTCAAGACGTAGTCAGAGAGTAACTCCTCCTCCTATGTTCTTCTGAGCCTTTTTAACAAGCACAATAATTCTTATAAGAACAGATCGACGTGTCAAAGTGTTTTTTGCACAAATTACATATTTTATATATGGTCTGAAACGCATTTGAGATCCATTAAAGTGAAATGAAATTTCCAGCTACAGTTCTTTCCACTGAACGTCACTTAACGATAAGTAAACAATTACAATCAAAAACGCTACTCCTTCCGCCAAGAAAATCGGCGAATACCCTTGTGGACTTTCGATCAAAATCAAAAACGACTGGTCCCTGTGCTGATATTTTCAATTCTTTCAAAGAACATAACCTTATTCGAATTTTCTTTAGTTTTCTTTTAAGATATGCCTCCACATTTGCAGAGAAAGTCGATGTGACGATAGTCTTTTATCCATTTTAGGATTTTTACTCGTATTTCTAGTTATAACGGGTTGTGAAGGTAATTTACACCAACGACACACATCAATTTCATTATCATGCAGACATCAATTTATTTTGTCAGTTTCGTCAATCTCTTATTAGTTTTTGGCCAACAAAAACTGTTGATAGAAAAAAAGTCGAGTAAATCAGTTATTCGTGTAATTCAAACTGGTCATATACGTCATTTAGTGTTGAATACAAAAGGTACCAATTTAATACAATCATCAATGAATATGTCTAATACATTTGACCCAGTTGATGAATACTCATCACTGTTCTTTACATGTCTGATATGGAATGATGAACCCAAAGCAATATTAATACTTGGACTTGGCGCCGGTATTGTACCACGATTATTTCGTAAATATTATCCCATGATACAAATTGACATTGCTGAAATTGATTCGAATATGTATGAGATGGCAAAAAAATATTTTCATTTTAAAATTGACTCTAAAATGAATGTATTTATAACAGACGCAAGAAAATACGTTAATTCTATAAACGTTAATTATGATATTATATTTTTGGACGCTTTTAATGAAAATGATGAAGGTACTCCGTTTCATTTGAGAACTATAGAATTTTTATTTAAATTAAAAACAATTTTAAATAATAAGACAGGTGTATTAGTAACAAATTTACATGGAAGTCATAAATATTATAGTAATAGTCGTCAAACATATTCATATGTTTATAAATATAATTATGCTTTCAAAGGTCAAAGAAACATGAATGTTATGCTTGTATCGGGTGATGAGAGTCTAGTTCCTTATACATACCAGGAGATGATTAATAGAGCATCTCAACTTCAAAACAAACAACAATTTATATTCAATTTAACTAGTGAGAGTATGAAATTTGAAACAATCGAAACTTGGAACAAGAATGTAACACTGTTTAAAGACTGCGATATTCCGAGAAACGGCATTCAAGCAAAAACTGTAATTATTAGTTTATTAGTTTTTTTTATCACAGTGAAAATAATATGTTACTGTAGAAACAAGACCGGCAACACTAGCGTACTGCCAGCTACTACATGCCAAAGGCGAAAAACAAGAAGAAGTGAACGTAGGTATCGCCGATAGTAGCAGTGGATGAAAATGGTTTAGAATAAATAAAAGGAAGGACATTGTCTGAAACGCATTTTAGATCCGTTGAAGTGAAATGAAATTTTCACCTACAATTCTTTCCTCTGAACGTCACTTAACGGTGAGTAACGATTACAATCAAAAACGCTACTCCTAACGCCCAAGAAAATCGCCTAATATCCGTGTGGACTTTCGATAATTGATTCAGAAATATAATTCGCAGCAGGCTGTTCCATCTAACCCATGGTCTTTACTTGATACAGAAAAAGAGATAAAAAATAACTGCTGTAAGATAGTGGAAACGACGCTATCCTAGCTGTGTAAGAAAGTCGTCCGAATTGTAAAACGCATATCGTTTCAAGAGTCTTGAAGTATTTCTATGCACGACAGGGCGAGCTTCGCACAGTAGAGTCGGTCTTATTACATTACTCGCATCGAAATATTTATATTTACCACGTGATGTATTTCAGATGAGTTTACTCGTCCGTATGTGAATAAATCATAAGTCATAAAATTTCTTTTTCATTAAAATTTTGTTTTATTAATTTCACGGAATAGGCTTCCTATTTTTCTTTTGGTATTTGTTTATCAGATGAATTTCGTATTCATTTTTTTGTTCTTATAATAGACTTCGATCGAAAAAAACGAACGTGCGAACATTCTAATAAAATCTGTGTAGAAGGCAAAACCCTGTTATATTCGTGAGAAAAAGGCTGAAAGGAACCACCACACGTGAATTAAAAAACTTTATTTAAAATCATTGAGGAACATGTTTGACTGTACAACACGCACACGTGTACAAATGTGATAGATCAAGTATTATACAAGCTCTGCAAACATATCTTACACTTGATGAACACGGTATTATATGAGAAGACTGATAGCGGCATTTAAAACTATTTAGAAGTTGAGTAGGGATTACATGAGTATGAGGATCAGACTACGATGAGTTATATGGTGGATAAGAATTTGGATTAGAACAAAGATAATTATTAACTGACGAAGTAGTAGAATGAGGATATAAGTAGTTAGCTGAGGATGTTGTTAGAGGAGGAACAGAAGTAATCGATAAAGTAAAAAGAATTGAACAGCCTAAAATTTAAATTGTATGATGTGAAATGTTAATTTTTCAAGTATTAGAAACCAAACCTGGTACATTATTTCAAGGATCTGGTGATAGAGAGTACTGAGGATTCATAACTGAAGATTGTTGAAAATTTGATACTATCAAAGGTGTTGATGAAGCAGTAGTAGATGTTGTGCTGATTAAATTAATGATAGTCATACATCTTTTTGTTATTTGGCTCATCATTTATAATATCTATATCTGAATAGAATAAATAACTGAATACTTGCTTAGAAAAAATTAGCTTACTTGTAAAGCAGTTACAGCATTGACTAAATATGTCTCTAAATATGTCGCGGATATCACCACCATCAGATATTTCTCTAAGAGCTGCTTTAAAATCATCTTTGGAATAACGAGACCCTCATCTTTTTTTTTGTATACTCGTGACATTGATAATAATGTGGAATAGTTGAAGGTTACAGTCAGGTGCCAATAACTGGTTTTTACATCGTGCTTATAGTGATCAAGTATTTTTCTTAGATTACGCGACATCTTATTCCTATATCGAACAAATTTTATATGGACAAGGAAGAAGGGGCTCACTATAAATTTATTTCGTCTTCTGACAACTTCGCGAATAAAACTCATATGGATTAGAGAAGGTCCTTTTCTACTTTTTATACTAGTTTGAAGTACACAAGCTGTACACACCATAAAGATCCGTTTTCTAGAAAAGGATCCCTTTTAGTTTCTGAAGTATTTGACTAACAATATCGCTAATTATCGCTTCAAAATGAAAATTTTTGTTTGCACTTTAGCGACCAGCTGGCCTACTTTTGAGAATCATGACTTTTCGCTTTTGTTTCTGGTTAAAGAAAATACAATAAGCAACCAAACGGTTTTCAATGAAACAAACCAAGTTTAGACAGAGATGAGCTTTATAAAAACAATAACAACTTTCTTGTTCTAGGTAATTTCGGACAGATTCGCCCACTTTATACACTACTGAAAACCGAGAAGTTTGGACTGTATGCGTTCCGTAGAGCTACTAAAAGTATGTAAAAGCCCACAGGTCTTGGAACAGTTATTTCGAACGCCGTTCTTTCTCCGCAATAAGATGCAAATTTTAGGGTTGTTCAGGTTTTTCTAACCGTATATTCCGAGACTATGAGAGAACTCGTCGCACGCTGTTCGTTGTGGCTAGATAAGAGCATCGAAAGTTACGTATTTATTTCCCTCCAATCCAGTTTTTATCTTCAACGTGTAAACTAATTTTCGTTTGAAGGACCGATCGTTTTGGACCAAAACTGTACTTTTTGCAACTGTCATAGCGAACGCAAAACAAAATGAAATCCTACTGAACGGCAAGTATTTTCGGGCTTGTGCTTGTAGCATTCCGACAAGCTTCAGTGGCACTTTCTGTTCATTTTAAAATAATGCTGTTTCTCTTAATCTTTGGATGAGTTACTCAGGGGCCCTTAAAAACGGATAAAATCGTCTTTTGTGAGCTATGGGCGACCGTTCTCGGACCGTTTGAACAGCTAAAATGTATGGAGTTTTAAGTCTTTTTCATGTTCTGGACGGTAATAAGAGTCGTTTCTGACCGTGTAATACTGGGCGGAGATGCGCGGGACTACCCTTATACACTGAAGATGGGATATAAATATTAGATAAATTTAAAGAAAAAACGCAGAAGAAAGCAAGTAAATAGAAAAGGATGATGGAATCGGAGTGCAGACGAGTGGTTACTTTTCTAATTCAGAAATGCATGAGATTAAAAAGACATTATGATCCTGTAGAGGTTTGAGCAAACACATTCACTATCGTGATCAGCATATTTCATTACGTATTTAAGTTACGTAAGGTGCACGCAAAGCAAAATTTTAGCAAAATTTTTTTTTCGATAAAAGACACATATTCGGATTTGCCAGAGCATGCTGATCACGAATATGACCTTGAAAGTTGAAAAAAACCTTTTTTTCGATAAAAATATCATTTTCGGAATCAGAATCAAAAACTGAGTCGATTGATATGTATGTCTATCCTATCTGACTACTTTGATTTTTTTCGAATTTTCACGTTGAAAAATTACCGAGATTTTCACTCAAAATTGAAAATCAATTAAAACTTACGAAATACATATCAATCGACTCAGTTTTTGATTCTGATTCCGAAAATGATATATTTATTGCTCAAAAGTTGAGTTCTGATCGCGAAAATTGGGAATTACGGTCAGAATTCCGAGTTTTTCGCCTCTTATTTAGAAAAAATAAATTTTCTAGGCGAAAATTTTTTTTCCCAAAACCCCTCCTTACGGCTATAGCTGGAGTATAGAGCTATCGAATGGCATAAAATTCAATGACTTAGCTCCTCACCAAAAAAACTAGATAGGTTTTTGGCGGAGGGGTCCCATTTTTCAGGGTTTTCTATCGCGAGCAGCGCCAAAATTTCAAATTACGGTCTAAGAGTCTGAAACTAGTATGGATATACCCAGTTTTCGACGAGGAATCGAACAATAAAAAGTCTGAGCCTGTAGCTACTTTCTATAAAAAGTTATGAGTGTTTTTCGAAAGGCCAAGAATTTTCGAAGTTTTTGGACCTTTTCAGTATTTTGCATTTTTCTCCCCGAAAAAAAGGTTTTTTTCAACTTTCAAGGTCATATTCGTGATCAGCATGCTCTGGCAAATCCGAATGTGTCTTTTATCGAAAAAAACATTTTGCTAAAATTTTGCTTTGCGTGCACCTTATATATTTCACAATTTCAAAGGCTTATGCAACTTAGCTAAAAATGATTCAACTTTTGATACAGGTAAGGCGTCATATTTCTTGAATTACTTTTACCTAAGTCGCAGTTCTTTTCTAGCGCCATCGAACAGAGCATAAAAAGTTACATATACTGTGAAATTTTGACGTTGCAACCGGATTCTGTTCTAGTCAGCTTGGGTGAATACTTTGAAAAACCTTGATTTGATAATTGTTTAATTTTCATATTCAGATTCAGCATGACATTCTACGCCATAATCACTATCTTTTGGTGTTTTCAATGCTTCCTTACACCGGAGGGGAGGGGGCACCCCCAAACCCTTTTTTGCGACAAATAAGAAATTTGGCCTAAATTCAAACTCACCAGACTTTTTCTGACACTTCTGAAAGCTATGTTCCTGATTAGCGTGGTTGATTACATATTACCAGGTGGTTTCGACCAAAATCAAAAATGAAAAGCTTCTCAAAATCCCTGTAGAGCACCTCAGGCGTTAAAAGCCTGACTGAAAGGTTTAGGGGATCTCGGTTTTCGAAAAATCGTTCCGCCAAGAAGCTTTCGAATTTTTTTCCATGTTCTATATTGAAGCTATGTGACTTATTTTGTCTAATTCAGCCCTCAACTGAGCCTAGAAATGTTATTTGCACATTGATCACATATTACACGATCAGAAAAGAAATTTATCTATCAGCATAGCTCAAAATGCTCCAACTTACTCTGCAGATCTATCTGGTTTCTCCAGTTAAAGAATGGAACCTTGATTTATGTCTTAAAATTCCTTTCCATTCCTGAGATATTCATTTTTTCTAAAGCAGAAGCGAAAATGTCAGAATTCTCCTGATAATTCTCAGTTTTCATCACCAAAACTCAACTTTTATGCAATAAAAAGATCATATTTGGAATCAGAATCAAAAACTGAATCGATTGATATGTAGAACATGAAGATCTCCATGGATCAGGCTTAATTGGTGAGAGTTTCTGACGATCGGTTGGATGTCCTTGATCGATGGCCTCTTGCTGCAAATACTTTCTTCTCACGCACGCTATTAACTGTGGAAACGCCTTTCGGAACTTTTCTGCTTCAGACTTTTTCATATATTTTCAATTTCTTCTGACGTTCATGGTTTATTTGAAGAGTTGATAGTAATCTTTGAACAGGCACCACACTTCGTGGAGTGACTTATAGAGATTCTGTTAAATACGACTGTTAACAATAATTTTTCTGTTATTCAAATCGAAACTTTTTCTTGTATTTGGCGTTAAAGTGCCGTTATCCGAAAATCTTTGACTAACATGCGTTGATTTTGACCTATCTGTACCAGTTATATCTTTAACGTGATAATTTTTCAATGGTGAGATTGTCAAATCCCTTACACGATATTGCTCTAGTCGCGGTGGCTGTACGCTTGTTGTGAGGATCAATGTGTACTGTTGTGACGGCGGTGGATATATCATTTCCGGCGTATCTTTTGGCAGTTGGGCATTTTTCTTCTCATCATAAAAAGTTTCTCGCCAGCGCTTACGATGTTTTTTACGTTTGAAAATTCTGAGAGAAAAATACACTCATCAGAAACGAGCGAAAAAGGAGTAGAAGATACGACGCTATAAACTTACCCAGCAGGACACATATAGCAAATACAGCAAGTTAAAGCTGCTACCGCAGCAAGTGCAAGTAACGGAACTAAGCCAGAGAGGAGTGCTGTCATAAGATTAAACGATTTTGCTAAATATTAAATAAGAAGACAGATGCTTTGTTTTGCCTGACCAAAATAGACTATGGCAATATTGGTCGATACCTATTTGTATTGTAGACGCTGCAGTGGTAGAGGTCGTTGTAGATTCCGTAGTTGCTGTACTCGTACTGATAGTTGTTGAAGTGGCTGTGGTTGCTAAATGCACCAAAAGACGTAAAAAAATACTGTCAGTTTTTTTCGAATACATGGAACATGGAATTGACTTGAAGTATTCGCTTGAGGAATCTTTTCGTTTCCTTTACATTTTTTGCTCCAGATGATGCAAAAAGTAGTTTAAGTAGTTTGTAATCCTGCCAGAGTATTTCTGAGTGAAACGTATAATGCTGCATGCTCGACAAAGGACGCTTGATCATTTGCTTGCTACTTCGTTCCTTGCTCTTGGTATCCCACAAGCAACTCAACACACATATTGAGACAGAGCTCGAGTAACTGTGCAACATATATTAAAATCATATCAAATAAATGTAATCTGGCATTTTTAGGTACTGCATGTAACAGGTAGTTGTTGTGAAAAGTAGTGCTCTTTCGAAAAATAATACGAAAACCTGTGGCCAGATTGTGCGCCTGAGAAGTACGCCGATTTTCTTTGAAGTTTCTTTGACTTTTCTGTTACACCTCAAAGTAATACGTGAGCGCCTGGCTATATGTCAGAAAAATCTTTTCTTTCTCAAAAACTGATGGACATACTATTTTAGTTTTGACCTTAACATAAAGCCTTTTAAATTGTCCACGAAGTAATGTATGCAGAGTACAACGCTCATCTTGCAAAACGGTGCTAGAAAGCTAAAAAGAGATTTTGTATTTGTTTTCCACCCTCTTTTGGATTCATCGCAAATCGTGTGCAGCACAGGCAACCATCCGTTACACAGAGTACCTAAGAATACCAGATTACATTTGTCTGATATGATTTTAATCTATGTTGTACAGTTACTCGAGCTCTGTCTCAATATATGCTGAATTACTTCTGAGATATCAAGGGTAGAGAAAAGGCACTAGTCACATGTCGAGTAGCTGACCGGAAGCCTTCAGTCGATTACACGCTATTATACAGTGAAGTCTGACTCGGAAACATCCTGAAATGATGTAAAATTAATCAGAATATCGTTTAGGGTGAAATCCAGTGAGCAGCAAAGACTCTTTGTACGGCTCCGTGTATTCTGCGCCGACCCTGTCCCTTACTATCAAGCTAAATTTAAATTCAATTTCTAACAGTACTAAGACGAACTCTTGAACGTAAAGATACAAAATTTACTTGTAGTTGTTGTGCTTGTCGAAGTTGTGGTAGTCGAAGATGTGGTTGCTGTTTAAATCAGAGATAAAATGTTAGTTATTGGGTTCGCTTTTCGATATATAATATTACTTGTAGTAGTTGTTGTGGTAGACACACTGGTTGTAGTAGTTTCTGTAACTAAAAATAGCACTAGTAATCAATACAAGCTTAGAATATTTACGAAGACTTTGAATAAGCTTTTTGTTTTAAGTTACGAATATGTCAAAATTTGTTGATAAACGAATAAAAATTGTGCATTTTTGTAGATGTAGTAGCCCTAGTCGAGACTCCCGGCAAAACTTCCACCGGACTCTTGTCACGAGGTCCTGCGGAATCCTGCAGGAGTCCGTTGGGACTTTCAAGGGATTTCTCAGGACTCCTGTGGAACTTGCGAGCCCTGTAGGAGTCCAACGAAAGTCCTAAGAATCCTCAAAGTCTCACGGGAGTCCTGAGAAATCCCTTGAAAGTCCCACCTGACTCCCCACAGTGGGCAACTAAGCGGACATTAGGCCAAAAAGTCGATTTTATCTATCTTGAAATACAAATAGTGCAAAATGTAGCTCTTGAAATTCTCTATCGAATGGTGTATAAACGTCTATTGTGAAACT